TGGAGTCTGCATAATATTGAGTTATTTTCCCACTTTTGGCACACTTTTTCACAATTTGTGAAATGAAAAGGAATTCCCTGGGACATGTGGGAAGAGAAAAAATGTGAAAATTTTTTCCCATTTTGGTGTTAACTTTCATCGCGATGTACTGTACATGTACGTGTACAATGTAAATAAGTACCTCCAGAACAGATAGCCACGTACAAACTCGCATACACACAGTTTGGCTGTTTCAATTAAGCCAACTTACTCAGCCATCACAGCTGTTTGTACAGCCAAATGTCATACATGCCTAAATGAAGTTAGATGTCTGATGAGGAGGCTTATCAAAGTTATGTCTTCATTAAAATGGTGAAATTCCCGAGTATTTTGCCTATCCACACTACTGAAAATCAGCAGCATGTAATCTCAATCACTTCAATCTCAATCTCAGCTTGACCAAAGGCAACACTCCTATCTGCCTATAGACCTTTTCCTTCTTGCTTTCCTGTTACCCACAGATGAAAACCACACTGTGTCCTGAACTTGGTCAATGTTATGAAACAGTTACTTGCTCAATGGTTACCCCAGAACTGTGCGCCGTGTACAGGCCGTTGCAGTGTGAACGATGTCTGTTGAGCAAGTGCCATCTCGCACATGGCTTGCGGCGATCTTCGGTGCAACGCGGGCTCACGTGCACTCAGACCCAATGGCTGTTGCTTGTCGTTCATGTTATTTGGGCGTAAATAATGAGGAACCCTATGATTGATCAATGTGACCCTCATAACTGATGCGGGTTGAGCGTGGAGGCCATTTTGTGCATGCCCAAAATGCGTACTACTAGACGAACAGGTTGTTCACGAATCTCGACGGAAATCGTGGAGTTTCCCAAAATTTCCTGCAAAATATGTTGTCCACGGGTGTACTTAGTAATTTTAACACAGCATTTATGGAATTTAGGATACAAAGCACTTGTGAACCATATTTGAGCTGTCTGCGCCTGGTAAAAATGTGATAGAAAAAGTTGAAAAAGATTTTGCATTGTAGGACTTTTATACCCGTAACCCTGGGCGTCAGTTGTAGTGTAAAAGAAGACAACGTCCAACCTGGGCTAGGCCGACTTACATGTACATGTACTCAACATTACATTGAATGTCAAACTGACATTGACATGAATAACAATTATTTGAACCAGAAACAACTAGGCCTAACTTCACATTTACAAAATTTAAATGGAAAACCTACCTCGAGATCAACGTCTTCAATAGTGGGCATTTTACTCACACTAGTCTGTCTTCTGCTGCCTTTCGTGTTGTAGACTTGGAAACAACGAACTTCTGAACTTCAGGCTCCTGCATTTACATCATACATTTCATAATTAAACTTAAAATATAGATGCAAAACAAACGACTACATGCATGGTGCCGCTTAGACGCATAAACAGGGCCCTACGCATACTCCTTTGTCGATATACTATATGTATATCGACACAGGAGTAGACCTTAGCCCCTTCGTAAGACCCTTTTTACGGCCGTCCGGGTACCGGTTTGAGGCACGCCAACTCGCGTGACTTTGCCAAGGCCCGGCCAAAAGCATGCAAGGCGAGCAAGTACAGTGCAGGGCATGACATTTCCAGGATTGCCACCGAATTTCTCCTATTAAAACAACAGCCAAATTCTCTTGCCCTGATGTAATCTACGTGAAACTTACACAGATTATCTAAAGTCTCGCGGAAAATTGGAATTGTTTACTAACTGCGAAGCAACAAAGAACAGGCAAGACAGGGTTACTGATTGGAATTTGGCCAAGCCATAGACAAATGGCGCCCTCTGTTGACCATCTTGTGACCGCAAGCATGTCGTCTGGATACCACACCCGCCTGATTCTGACTACTCTGCGGTTGCACAACACCAAATACGCACCCGAATGGTTCTGCGCGCGAGCTCATTATTATTTTGTGATCCCAAGAGATTTTTATGATAAGACAGATTTTGCACTTTTTCTATGGGCGCCCATTTGGTGTTGTGCAACCATATAAAACAGTACAAAATCGGACCGAAATAGCGCCGCCTGTAGACTCTCGTGAAGAGGTTGGCCCCCTTTTTTTTCACTGGAAATTCAAGATTATTGCTAGAAGATCACTTTTCGTTTTAATTTTATGGGGGTTAGCAACGTGAATTTTGTTTTATTTGCCTCTTCACAAAGATACCCCTAAATAGTAATCAGACTGTGAGCTCAGCTCAGAATGTATCCGCCTGTCTCTATCCAAAATAAGCCCGCAATTGGGGGCTTTTTCAGTGGATGAAATACCCTGGGACTGGAAACTTTCTGTTCCAAATTTGGGATTTATAGAAATATTTCTATGATCCTTCCTGATTATGGCACGTCTTATTGTAAAAGACCCGTGGGATCACAAAATATTAATGAACTCGCGCGCAGAAATCCAACTTGACGATTTGGTGGAATGTACCCATAGGGCCCGTAAGATTCGATCATGAAAAATGGTATCTATTGGTATCATCCGTCTCTAAGGGCGCCCCCTATTTCCACCAGTTATGAGGCTAGGCGACGGCGAGAGAACGATGCAACGGCGCGACACGACGGGACAGCACGACGGGATGATACGACGCAACGGCAAGACGGCAGGACACGACACCACACCAACGGTTGTGACAGTGTGTGTGCCGTCATCTTCCAGCGTCAACTACGGTGGTTCGGTCACGTTCTGCCACGGGGATGGCCGAGGGTCGTCTTCTTCGCAGACTCTTTTACGGTGAGCTTTCCTCGGGATGCCGTAGCGTTGGTGGTCTGACGAAGCGATTCCAAGACCACTTGAAAACTTCCCTGAAAAAGTGTGGCATTCCTCCTTCAGATGTTGAGCGGCTTGCCAGTGACCGGCCATCTTGGCGCATGATGTGCCACAAGGCGGTGAGGACCTTCAAAACCACGACCGTGAGGGGCATCGCCGCCGGAGGCACGAGCGCCAGAGCCGTGGTCCCTTGCCCCCTGTCGACAGCTTCCCCTACCCTACCTGAGGGGGAGGCGATGTGCGTCCGTGTTTGGTCTATGCAGCCATGAAAGGGTCCACCAGAGGCGCTGTTACCGTCACTGACTTAAGTTATTTACCTATCCATAGAGAGAAACACTAATCACTAACCATTTAATAATATAGCTTTCGGAAAATTTCGGAAAATGTGTGATCTAATTTGTAAAATAAAATTTCGATTTAGCGTAGATTTTCAAAACGACTTTAAACCTGGTTTCACTTTCGCAATAACAAGCACTCGACTTCGTTTTGCGTCCTCAAATAAATGAATGTGCATTAGGCCCTACGTTGTGTTAAATAGAAACGGGGATTTAAATGTTGTTCTATTTCGCTCGAAAACGAATGCTGCTATTTCTAATTCACTTACACATTTCCTGAAATTTGCCGGGAAAACCTACAATAAGGGAATAATTCTTCCAACAAGCGATGACGCATCAAAACAATTTCCTAATCACGTGGAGCCATAATTGCATTCAGCCCATCCGTTTCCCTTGCATAGCGCCCTCACTAGGCTGGAGAGAACAAGCGCAAGTTTGGCCCCCGACACTTGAGTATAGGAAACCCTCTGGTCGGGGTTACGTATGGGATCTTGGCTCTGTATTGGTTGACTTTGCGTGGGGGGGGGTCGTCGTGTGGTAGGATGGCTCTGTAGAGGTGCTGGTCACCTGTTCCATCTTGTCATTCACTGGCTTTTTAGCATGTTGTTTTTTATACCCGTCATCTGATTGTTGTGTCATGTCAAATGTTTTATGTAT